TCAGAGCAGAGCCAGCCAGCCAGCCAGCCAGCTCAAGGGCTCAAGGGCTCAAGGGCTCGAGGCCGACGCGCCGATCTGAGCCGCCCTTTGGAATTGAGAGTGGGCAGTCTGCCAGCACGACGGCCTCCAATCAGCCAAGCGAGGCGCGCATTTTTCCACGCCGATTCCGACTAATTTTTCGAGGGCAGGAGGGGGCTCAAATTCAGGGGGGGGAGGGGGGCTCTCGCAGCTGCCAGGCCAGGTGTTGGACTCAGAACCAAAAATGCAATTCCAAAATCGATTCCGACCTGTCACTTTTGCTCTGCTTTGCTGCTACCGCGACACAACAACACTCTGTCGCTGTCGAGAAAGCTATAGTACGAGGCTTGAACTCTTTCTTGCGTGCGGCTTGTCTTGCTACCATCGCTGATTTGGGGGGCAGCGTTGCGTGGGCGAGTTGGTGTGTCGGAGGTCAAGGCGCATGCAGGCGTGCGTGTGCATAAATTCTCCTTCACCGCACAGCTTTGCAAATAATGGGCGGGCGATTCTTGGATTTTTTTTTATGACTGGCGTCGGATTTCCAACGCGCGCGTCAAGAGCAGCCGCAGCCGCTGCTCATCGTGCATCAAAAATTCCACCACCTCCCTCCCCGCCAACCAGCATCATCGATCTCACATCTTTGCAAACAAAAGCCCACTTGGAATCTTACGATTCCCGCTTCACCTTGACCCCGACGCTGGGGGAGCTGTGTTGATTCTCAGAATCCATCCTTGAGCTTGAGTCGGTTGGTGGTCTTGTCCATCACGGCTACTTTGCGCACGGCGGCGCTGAGTTGGTCCTTGATGTGCGGTTCCGACTTGAGGCGCTTGCGGAAGTGCTGCACGAGCTCGCTCGTATTCGCGATCTTGCCCTCGCGGATCAGCTGGATGATTTCGGCCTCGACCGCGTTGGCAGGCACACGCGGGGCGCCAGGACTCCCCGCGCGCGACGCCGGCTTGCTACCCCCAGCTGATCCAGTGGGCGAAGCTGCGCGAGATGCAGTCTTGACCCGCTTCGCTTCCGGTCGAACGCTGCTCGAAGGTGTAGCCGCTGTCGACTGCGTCTCGGCTCGACGCTTGGTGCCCGCAGATGCAGTGTCGCCAGGCGGCGATTCAGCCCGACCGGGACTGGAGCCGCGAACCAGACTCGGACTCGACGATCGGCTCGCTTGCTTGCTCCCGATCTTGGACGCTCCGCGCGTCGGGGATGTAGCTCGCTGTGCCAGGCTCGCGTGCCCGGCTCCGGGGCGAGAGGCTTGCGCTCCACCCAGCTGCAATGGCTTCTTCTCTGCCCGGTCCGTAGGCGTATTCGATCCCGACACAGATGCCGTACCGGGAGTCGACTTTTTGTTCTTGGCCGCTTCCTTTTCCTTGCGCTCGCGCTCCTCGCGCGCCAGCTGGATCGCCTTTTCCGGATGGGCCACATACGACTCCTCGTCGTCGTCGTCCGAATCGTCCGAATCGTCCGACGCGTACGGGTTGCGCCCGTCGTCGTCCTTGTCGTACGCCTCGTTGCCATCGCGCTTCGCCAGCGCACGCATGATCTTCATCATCTGCTTGCCGCTTCCCGTGAGCATCTGATCCTCGTCCTCGGCCGCACCCACCACCTCCTCCTCTTCCTCCTCTTCCGCATGGTTCGCACGCGCCATCTCGCGCTTCAGCCTCTCCTCGAGCTCCTTGGCCTCTTCGTCCTCCACCACATCCGCCTCGGGATCGTGCACCTCGTCGTCGTCCGCAAACTCCTCCTCATAGTCCAGCTCGTCGTATCCGGCCCCCGGGCTGTCGTCGCGCTTGCGTCGGCGCGAGCCGGCGCCGTCGTCGTCATCATCATCGCGCAACAGCTCGCCGCCGTGCACCGCCATGAGGTTGCGTCGACGCCCGGTGGAGAAGGACATACCGGTGGGCAGCGTGAGCTGGTTCACCTGCGGCCAGTTGCGCCATGCCGCGCTGTCTTCCTGCTTGGACGTCGACGCCGACGCCGAGACCGGCTTGTTGCGCAGCGCCCACCGATCCATCTCCTTGGTCTTTTGGTACTTTTGATACTCCAGCTCCACCTGCTCGTTGGTCAGCGTAGAGTGCTTGGGCTTCTGCAGGAACTTGTACATGCGCGACACCGGCACCACCTTGAATCCACCCGCGTCGCGCTCGTCAAACACAAACAGCACGTGCAGCGACGAAGCCTCGGATCCGGAATCGCCCTCCAGCTTTCCCACCCAGGGTGCGTGCGAGGTGGACGACGACGAGGATGAAGAAGAGCCAGCGCCGGTGCCCGATTCGCCTCCCTTGAGGCTCGCCTCGATCTTGACGGCGCCTGTGGGATCGTGCATCTTGACATCGCCCGCGGCGCCGTTGGATTCCGAGGCTGGCTTGGCGTCGCGCTTTGCCTTGAGCTCGTCGATGTGTTGCTGGAGCGCGCGTGCACCGGTGGGGATGGGCGTGCGGATGCTCTCCCACTCGTCGGACGTCTCAAAGTCCTCGAGCACCCAGGGAAAGTGTTCCTCCTTCATGGTCTTGCGCGCGCTGTCGGCGGCCTTGTGGATCTCGCGCACCTTTTTCTTGAACAGCTTGCTCTTGGGTGGACGCGCGCTGCCGCCGGGTGCGATGAGGCTCTGGTCTGCACCGGGGCCCTTGGCTGCCACCTCCTTGCTGATGACCTCCTCGATGCGCTGCAGATCGTCGTCGGGCGCAGGCCATGTGAGCGGCTGGCCGTCCTTGCCCATCATGGGGCGGTTGTACTTGTCCGTGATGGGGTCGCCCGGGTTGGGCCTGGGCAGCTTGAGCCGCGGCGGATTCTTGCGGTTGAGCTTGAGCGGCGGGATGAACTGCGCCGTGTCGTTCGGGTCGACGCGCGTGTGGTGCGCAAACTTCATGAGGTGCGTGAGCCACTGGCCGCAGTCGGTGGAGAGCAGCGGGATGTCGCGGTACGTCGTGGGTGGCGGCGGCGGCGCATTCTTCTTGTCCTCGCCCTCGTCCGCGTCCGGCTTGAGGCTGGACCGGCCAGCAGCTGGATTGCCGTTGGCAGGGCGGCCTCGCTGGTTGGCGGCGGCTCGACCATGTTCGGACTTGATGCTGCCCACCGATGTGGCGGCAGAAGGCTCTGCCTTGACAGGAGGCATGGCGATCGATCGACGTCCAGGTGGGGATGGTGGATGTGCAGAAGAAGGCCTCACAGCTCCGCCGCTGGAACCGCTTCTCCACTTTTTCGGCACGAGCGAGGCGCGCTGCCAACCCCCAATTTCTCGCACGGATCGCCTTTCCCACCCTCCAAAGCCAACGCCAACGCGAGAAATCAGCCGATACGCCGGCAGAACACGCCAAGAAGACGGCTCATCCACTCGCCAAGCGCCGCCCGATCGAGAGACGAGAGAGAGTCGACTCGAGTCGCGTACAACCAAAAGCGCGGGCCGGACCCTGAACCAACTCAATGGCCACAGCACCTCAGCCCAGAGCTCCTCCTCCCCCTCCTTCTCCTCTACGCGCGTCTCCTACTCCCAACACAAGCCATCGACAGACATGCGACCTTCTCAGTAGGGGCATCCTTGCCTTGACTCCCCGCTCCACACCATGTCGGCTCTCCGAACCACCTCGGCGCACGCCGCCGCCGCCTCCGCCGCTGCCAACCCTGAACCGGAACGTAGCCCTCGCAGAAAGATGTCCACCGACCTCATGAGGATCAAAAACTTTCCTTCCAGCCTTTCGCTGCGCAAGCCAGCCGATCCAAATACCCCACCGCGCTCCGATCCGGCCGCATCCACCGGCACCGGCACCGGCACCGGCACCTTCTCTCGCCTCCGCGCTTTGGGCCAGTCTCAAGCATCGGACGGCAAGTCCTCGCGTCGCACGTCCAGGCTCTTCGATGCGTTCAAGTCGTCCAAGAAGCCACCGCCGTCCTTCGAAGTGGTTCGCAAACCGCCCAACCGCAGCACAACCTCCTTCCACTCGTCGCTCCAGTCCTCCACCCAGGACGCCGTCTACCGATCCCAGAGTCGCCTTTCCACCCAAGACTCGCCCCAGGTCCTCGAAGCGCCTCCCAGGATATCCCTCTCGGCACCTACGCCCGACCCCTCCATGCCATCTTTCGCGCCTCCCACTTCGCCCTCGGTCCCCAACAACCTCGGCTCCCGTCCCCAATATCCTCCCTCCACCACCAGGACGCGCAGGCTCAGCAGCAACCTCGCCGCCGCCACGACCAACAACACCCGCAGAACGTCAGATCCGCACACCATCTCGCGCACGCATTCACCCGCCCCCAGCACCAACCTCGACGCCGCCACGAGCGGCACTTTTAGCCTGCACTCCTTCCGCAACGTCCGCTCCGCCAGCGACGTCTCCCACGCCGACGACCCCAGCGCCAGCGCTCCCAGTGCAGGAGCCCACTCCAGAGTCCACAGCATCATCTCGGTCGACGAATACGTAACCCCGGGCGAGGAGCTTCCAGAGCCGCGCTTCCTCGACGAACACACCTCCCGCGCCAAGTCGCCCGACATCAACCGCGCACAGTCCACCAGTCCCGTCGCCAACGCAAAGCCCGCCAGCATCTCGGCCGCCAAGTTCCGCCAGGCCGCACGCCAGCGCAGCGAAAGCGGCACCATCCCCACGCTCGACAACATCCACGCTGGCCGCCCGCCTCGATCCCGCACGCCGTCGCAGGACCTCGCCGCCATGGAAGCCGTGCTTGCGCAGACCAACCAGCGCTCCGTCCGGCCCGCCGATCCCGACCGACGCAGGAGCACAGGCCCCACCTCCGTCTCCTCGCCCGTGCTCGCATCCGCTGCGGAGGACAACCACCAGCGCCGAAAGCGCGGCTTCTTCATCGTCGTCGAGGG